AAGCCAATCATAAAGAGGACAAATACTGTATAGTTACACACACACACACACACACACACACACACACTGGTCAAACTCATGGAAATGGAAAACAGGATGGTGGTTGCTAGGGGAAAAGAGGTGGGAATAATAAAAGGGTGTCAGTGCTTTAGTAGGACATCGTTTTGGCTCTGCGAGATGAAAACTTTCTGAAGATTTGTTGCAAGATGATGTGAAAGGGTTAATATGATACACTTAATGAATGGTATATGCTTTTTTTTTTGGTACCAGGGATCAAACTCAGGACTTTGTGCTTGCAAGGCAGGCAGCGGAACCGCTGAGCTAAATCCCCAGCCCAGTTAATGGTATATTCTTAAATCATGACTTTTAAAATAAAATTTTCTTAAACGGAAAAAAAAAAATGAAGAACCTGCTTTAATTATGTTATTTGCATATGCCCTGTGGATTTTTCACAAATGCTGGGATATTAAAATCTCAAGGTTTTGAATTATATATTCCATGGATTCAAAAATATTTCAATACATATGCAAATTTGTTTCAGTTATACTGCTAGATTCTCTTCGTTCACTGAAAAGAAAGTTTTGTGCTATTATCTAGTTGTTTCTTTTTTATAAGAATCGTTTTAGACGGGCATGGTGTGGCACACCTGTAAACTCAGCACTCGAGAGGCTGAGGCAGGAGGATCGCTGTGAGTGTGAGACCAGCCTGGGCTACACAGTGAGACCGTGCCTCAAACAAAACAAAACAAAAAAACCAAAAAAGAATTCCAAGGCTTGAAAAGAAGTGCTTGGGGGAGGTTGGGGAATGACCAGGGGCCACCTGGCCCTGAGGGAGCAGGGTGGACTCTGGTGCCCAGGTGGCTGGCTGGTGGCACCGACACAGTCCCTGACACCCATAGGAAACAACAGGAGCAGTCACTGTGGGTGCGCAGCAGCTGGGTGGAGGCACAGGGCCGAGGGTCACCAGGGGAGGACACAGGTGCAGATGCAGGTGCAGGGGGCCTCGGGTGCCCATGAGGAGGGGGCGAAGCTAGCAAAGGTTTCAGAGGGAAGAGGGCTGTGGGCCGCAGGCTTCGGGATGCTTCAGGATGCCACCGCTGGCGGTGAGCTGTCTCCTCTGGCTCCCACTGGGCACGAGGCTTGGCCCCCGCCACCTGCCCTCTGTGTCTTGCACCTGAGTCTCACCTTAACCCTCAAATTAACTTCCCCAGGGCCCACACCCAGCAACTCAGCCCCCTGTGGTCCCCTCCCACCCACCACGAGGGCACAGCACCACGGGGTCCAGGACGCTCCACCCAGAAGTTGATGCCTCCACCTCAGATCCCAGAAGCCTCCGTGAGGAGCTGGAAGTGAGCCCTGCCTCCAGATCACCCAGGGCTCTAGTGCCCTGCACGTGACAGCACAAGGAGTCCCCACCCCTCCTGTACCCTCCTGGCCATCTCGGTTACCTCCTCTGGTTGGTCCCTTCTTATCTATTGATTTCTCTTTTCTACTAATGGGGCCTCGCTAAATCACTAAATTGCCCATGCCGGGCTTGAATCTGCAATCCTGCCTCAGCCTCCCAGAGTGCTGGGGTGACAGGCGTGCTGTCCCACTGGAATCCGGCAGCCTGGCCACCCTCAGCTAACATTCCTGGCCTTTCGCCATCCAGTGAGAGTCTTATCTCATCACTGCCTCCCACGATGCCATGGCAGCCAGGCTGCGGGTCTCAGCCATTCCCCCACCTGACACTTCCCCCTCTCAACCGCACCTAATGTATCGAGCACTTACTTGGGGACCTTGTGAAGCAAGAGACAAATGCAAGGTGCCTCTCCCGACTCCTAGCCCTAGCAGCCCACCATCCTGGCTGGCCCGCTGCCCAGGGCAGATCCCAGCAGGCTGCCTGCCCTTGTCACACACAGTCACCCTTTGTTAGGTCTTGATCCCAGTACATCTTATCTGCCAAAACAGGTTGTAATCTCCAGAGTTAGGGACCCCTTGCCTGCTGCCAATCTGGAATAAAGACTCCAGATTCCTTGAGCCAAGAGGCTGGCTGTACCACAAGGCCTGCTCCCCACACCCCTGCCAAGGCTGCAGCCAGCCAGATAACCCATGCTCCCTCCTGCCCTTCAGGTCCCCAGGCCCTAGAGCTGACCTGTGCCACCTTCCTCTGCCTCTGCTCATCTCCCTTGCCTTCTTTTTCTCTATAGCTTTTTTCTGTGGCCCAGATGTCCCCCTCAAACTCTGTAGGAGCTCCTGGTGTGCCCCTTAGCCTGAGCCTCTCGAGGGCGCCTGTCTGGCCCAGGATGGAGCCAGGGCTATCAGAGGCGACTTGACTCACCCAGGGTCACGGGTGGACCCCAGACTCTTTGGCCAGCTGACTGAGCTGCCCAGCCACCCCTTGGCAGGTTCTCAGCACACCGCCCGCTGGGACATAGAGAGGGGAGACGCAGGACGCAGAGCTGGAGCTTAGGTGTGTTTATTCCAATACAAATCATTACAAAACCAGGTCAGGGGCTGTCACTGCCCTGTGTCACCCTAATGTGCAATGGCTTGCAGCTGGCTTCCGCTGTTGATTCCTCCCACTCCACAGCCTCCTCCTGGAAGCTCTTCCCTTCCAAGCTCCGGAAAAGCAGGGGCAAACAAACCCCACCCAGTGTCAGTTTTGGTAAAGTGCCTGCTCTAGGGGATAGAGCCCGGTGACAGCCATCCCAAGCCCTGCTTGGGGGAAAACCCCAGAAGCCCTCGCCATTGCCAGACAAAGGCCACACGGAATCCCAGTGTGCTGGGATCACCCTTCTCAGCCCCAAAGTCTCCTCCAACAGGTGGGGACCTCTTCTGCTGGAGGGTAGAAAAAGGAGGCCTGGCCCTTTAAGAGCCAAGCTAATGGCAGCTGGGCTGAGAGGCCAAGAAAACAATTGAAGGTTTGTCTTACTCCCCTCGGTGTCCCCCAACCCTGGGGAGTTTGCGCAAAAATACCCTAAGGTTTTCCAGGAGGTGGAGACATGCATCCCAGATCCTCCAGGCCTCTGAGCCCCACAGCAAGAGGCAGAAGTTGAGGCTCCCATCTTGGGGTCCACAGGGTGCTGTGTGGGGAGGCGGGAGTCTCTCACGTGGACAGAAGGGTGCCCAGAAACTGGGAGAGGTTGGTCCAAAGTCACTCAGGAGCCGAGACCTGGGTACCAGCCTCCTACCCGTCAGACCTCCTCACAGCTCCCACAACCCCCAGATTCTCTGGCCTCACCTCCGGACGGCTCCTGCCCACACACTGTCTCCCTGTGACAGAGGAACTGAGGGGCCAACACCATAACTGCAGCTCCTCGGGAAGGACCCCTTGGTCCCAGTCAAGTAGGGTGTGATTTGGGGCCCATTCCTGGGGCTCTGAACCAAGGCCTCATGGGAAAGGACACGCACGTCCTCAGCCTCAGACTGACTCAGAAAGACCCCTGTACCCTGATCGGCTACGCTCAGACCCTGACTGGACAAGAAATAGCTGACACCCGCGCTGAACCACAAAGAATCCCAAATCCCTGATTGGCCAAGAGATACCCCAGGCACTCTGATTGGCTGGAGGATATACCCTCTTCCAGGCCCTGATTGGCTGGGAGATACACTGCCAGCCTCCCCTGGTCAGAAGCTGGCTCGAGCTCCAGTGGCTGAGCCCAGAGCCCCTTCTGTGCCCCTCAGGAGGTTCCCCTGGCAGGGTGACCTAGGTCCAGGAGGGGTGGGAAAAGGTGATGCCATACAGCTGGGCCCACGACGAGAAGACTCTCTTCTCGGTGATGAAGCGGTGGTGGTTGCCCTTGCGGCTGTGCTCGTTCTGAATGTAGGTGACACACTCGTCCGGCCCCTTGGGCTCGTAGTAGTGGTAGGGCATGCGCTGCAGGCGGGGCCGCTGGCTAGGGCACAGCAGATGTGGGTGTCAGGGCAGGGTGGGCACCAGGGGGACCCTCCCCTTTCAGTCCCTCACCGGCCATGGGACCTCAGTGGGAGAAATCCCTGTTCTTCCCACCTCCCTACGAGGGCAGCAGGGCAGGGTGATGGTACTAAGCACGGGCTCTAACCAGGCATGGAATCGCACACCTGCCATCCTAACACTCTGGGAGGCTGAGGCAGGAGGAGGACCAAAAGCTTGAATCCACCCTGGGGAATAGAGACTTCGAAAGATCCTGTCTCCACATGAAAACTCAAAAAGGGCCGTGGATGTAGCTCAATGAAAAGTTCGCAGGTTCAGTCCCAGTACTGCAAAACCAAATCAAAACAAAAACAAAAACTGCGGGCTCTGCAGCCTGGACCCAGCCTTTGCTATTTATTATTATTATTTATTTATTGGGTTTTTTGGTACCAGGGATCGAACTCGGGTCCTTGCGCTTGCGAGGCAGGTGGCAGCACCACTGAGCTAAATCCCCGGCCCTCAGCCTTTGCTATTTATGAAGCGTTGGGCCACTCAGAGAGCAGCGGCCTCAGTGTGCTGCATCTATAAAACGGGGAGAATGACAGCAGCCATCCCTCAGGGCTGCTGCGTGGTGAGAAGTAATAAACATAGGCAATCGTGGGACATGATCAGCCCTCAGCAAAATGTACCTATCTTCTAGAGAGCGTGTCCTATAATTATTATCAATAAAGAACTCTGGCTGAGCTTGGACAAATCTCAGGCTCTTCACCCTCTGCAGAGCAGTTCCAACTCCACAGAAGCAAGGTTCTCAAATCCTGCCACCAACACCCATGCGTTTTCCCTGGAGCGCTCACCTGCAGTAGTCAGGGGGGACCATGCCGTAGACGTGCACGTGGTCACACAACTCCACCGCGATCACCATGGTAAACCAGCCTGTGCTTAACCACGAGTGGGACTTTTCCCTGGGGGCAGAGAGAGGAGTCACCGTGAGGGGTCAAATGGGCAGGGAGCGATGGTCAAGCTGCACGGAGTTTCCAGAAACTTCCCACCTGCCCACGGTGGTCCCAGCCCATTCCCACAGGAGTTGTAGAAGCTTGGGGGCTGGCAGCGGGTTTGTCAGGCAGAGGCGAGGGCCACAGAGCAAGTGCCTTACAGGGAATGAGTGGGACCGGGCATGCTGGGAATAAACTCCTGGGGCATTGGTCACAGCTGGGCAGGCTGGGCGTGACTATGACTACGGAGCATGCTAAAGCAGCTGCGCCTGCATTCGGGGCAAACCCTGAAGGGGCACTGACAGAGAAGGTCAAGCTAGAGTGACTTAGAGCTCGGAGCAAGGCTGGAGCAGTGGCTGGTCTCTGCGGCAGCCGTGTGTGGTGACCGAGGATCTGACGTGTGGGTGAGAGGGGCCAATGACTCAAGTTATGACTGGCCTGACATATGAACAACGTGGGTTATGACTGGCATTTTGTTTCAACTTATGACCAAAGACTTGAGTTAGGACTCGAATGCCGACCACTTGTGCTTCCAGATGGTCTCAGATAGAGATTTAACCCTTGAAAGAGTTCTGGAAGGAACAGGACAACATCCTTTCCTGTGTAGGGTTGATTGGGAGATCCTGGGCCAATGTCTGAGGACACTGAGATCTGCCTGTGTACGGGAGAGACTCTGAAGGCTGTGGAGAGGAGGCTGAGCCTTCACTGACCCACTCGAGCTGGGAACCATCCAGCGATTGGGAACGAACTGAGTTCGTAAGTCAAGGATCCACTGCATAATGGACTTCTTGGACAGTATGAAAAAGGATTATAACCCATGTTATTGGTAATTTTTTATATTGATTATGTGTTAAACTAAAAATACTTTGCATATCTTTGGTGGAAGGTGGTTCATTAAAAAGATTTATGTGGAAAAGACAACTCTCCAGCAAGACTGACAAAGGGAAAGGAAGATGACACAACTCACCGATATCTGAAATAAGAGAGGAAATCACCACATACCTAGTAGATGTTAAGAGGATACTAAGAAAATTCCACAAACAACCACATACATAAATTTGACAACTTGAAGGAAATGGGTCAGTTCTCTAAAAGTCACAACTACGCAAGATAAAACAGGTAGCCTGAATATCCTAAAACTATTAAAGAAATTGGGAGCCAGGCAAGGTGGTGCACACTTGTAATCTCAGCCCTCAGGAAGCTGAGGCAGGAGGATGGCAGAAAGTGCAAGGCCAGGGCCAGGGATTTAGCTCAGTGGTTCCACTGCCTGCCTGGCAAGCGCGAGGACCCAAGTTCGATCCCTGGTACCAAAAAAAAAAAAAAAAAAAAAAAGAA